TTGGGGAAGAAGGGGGACCTGAAGTTTTCTATGTGTTAACATACGCAGTTTGTTTGGCATTGTTGGCCCACCGTGGGAAGAGAAACACAATCGAAACTTCTGAAGATCGTATTGAAAAAAGAGTGAGGATTAGTGGAAAAATGGGAGGGAAAAGTCAACTTTTATGGTAATTTTGAGGGCAAAAAAAGGGAATGCGATAAATTTACATAGTATATAAGCAGTTTGCATGGTCGCCTTACCGGAGAGCTTGGTGAAAATTAAAAAATCACGCATTGTGCTTGCTGCCCTCAGCAAGCCATAACTTTTTAGCTTATAAAAACTTTTAGTGTTTACCTTCGTTTATTTAAACTTTCGGTGAGAATTAACTTTTTAGCGTTTATTTTCATTGCTGAGAAGTTTCGGCAAAAATATGCAGTGGTTCAAACAAGCCGTGCTTAACCGGACAAAACACGGCTCCATAATTTCTGCGAATTTGCTTTTATAGTATTTTCTTTGTTAGGTCCTCACCTGGTCCTTGACTACAGCAGCGGAAGACAGAGAAGAATACCAGCACTTTATTCTTCCAACAAAAACTTTGCTTCAAATAAAAACGACGGGTGAAACGACGCGTAAAACGACGAGCCGGGGCGCCGCACAAGCTGCCCTTCTGGACACCTTGATCCATGAGAGCTTTATTCACAACACTGCCAACTAGCTTATGGCACGTGTTGAGGCAGGTTATGGGCCGGTAATTAGATGGCTCAGCTTTATCGCCAGCCTTATAGAGCAACACCGTCCGGCCCTTACAAAACCAGGAGCCTGGAACTTTCCCGCTATCCAGCACTTGCACTGCGAGCCTATCGAGTCGATCGGAGACCCAAGGAAGCTTTTTCCTTCAGAAGGCCTGGATCCCATCAGGGCAGAAGGAGGACGCTGATGGTGGTGATGAGGCGAGACGCTAGTAGCATTAGTAGTGGCAGAATGAAGCGGATGAATGGCGCTTGTTGATTCCCAAAACTGTGAGAGCCTCGGTTTTAGGAAGGGGTTTATATAGGGAAAATTAATGGAGGGAAAAGGGGGGCAAGGTAGTTCGAGAGTGAGAAGGTAGGTAATATGGAATTATTTAGAATTTGCTGGAACTGTTAGAAATTAGTGAGTGGAGGAAAGTAGGTCGAAGTGTTAAGGACTAGTGGGAGGAGGGAAATAGGTGGAATTATAGAGTTGCATCTTTGTGCTTGTTTTTTTTTTTTGATTGAAAAGTATTTTCAGTGCGCGAATTGCAGCCGAGTAACACGCAATATGGCCTTGAACATATCAAGCTATTCAGTGACATTAATTATCTTACATTCGATATGTACTCGTCGGATTTGTACCAAAAGCGCTTCATGATCATTTTACAGGGCCCTCGACTGTGCTCAATTGATTTCGATGCAGAGGTTACCATTTTTTGGTTTTTTTTTTTTGGAATTGCAGGAAATTTTTGTTCATTTTTTTTTTAAAAAAGCGATTTTTATTGTCGATACGACCTACAAAATCGGAATTAAAAACGATTTAAATCCACTCTCATCTTCAGATATTTCCATAGAAAGATATATTAACAACGGACGAAATGAGAAGAATCAAAAAACGAAGATAGGTGATAATGAGAAGTACAGAATTAGCAAAATTAATAAAATTATTTTTTTTTTGAAATTATCTTAATAAAGTTAATGAAATTATTTTAATGGTAAGAAATGTTTCGATCCGCATCTGCCTTTGCTACATTAGCACTGGGCGGCTTCTTCACGTATGTTAGTTTCGACAGTAACACATTAAATAATTTTTTTAAATTTTCACCACGTACATTTGTTTCTTATAAATTTGTGTATTTAACACCTTTATTAACAAAACAATCACATTTGTTGGTCTTCTTTTTTATTGTTTTTTAGAATTGCTCGAATTGTAGGAAATTTTTGCTTTAAAAAAAAAAAAACGGTTTTTACTGTCGATACAACTCACAAAATCGGAATGAAAAATAGTTTAAATTCATTCACATCTTCATATATTTCCATAGAAAGATATGTATTACTTGTACTGTTTTTTTTCCATTGTACACTTCGATAACAAGCGTTTTATTTTTTTTTTTTCTTCTTTTTTTTATTTTCTTGTATTTACTTAATCCCTCTTTTTTCCGCATCATTCTATGTTCTTTTTGGTCTCATTCGATCAGAGTGCCCTCATTATTTTTACCACATGACCAGCCCAGCTCTTCTTCCTAACCTTCATTGCCTTGATAGCATCACTGATGAAATTCCAATATTTTTTTTTTTTTTGTTTTTATGGAAATTCAAAGCTCATTTGATTATTTTGCAGGCCAAAAAGTTCACAGTTTGTGAAAACTACCCAGCTCTTGCCGTTCCCCCG